TGTTTAATTGATCTTACCCGTGAAAGAGCGGATGAAAAACGAAAAGTTGGCATAAGCAGTCGTTGACAAAGGCTTGTGCTGCTATTGTTATAAATTGAATGTTTCGTTTGAAAAAAAGCGATTAGTTTGTGTCTCACTCATCTATTTCTCAGAAGAAGTTACGTTGAGGTCTTTCTGATCTATGTTGTAGACAGAAGTCACGTGGAGTTCTCTCTGATCTAGTTTGTAGACAGAAGTCACGTGAATCTAGTGTCGCATATTCACAGCCATAGTTTGTTTGTTATTAAGCATAAAACTCATAATGTTGTGCCTACTGCGAATATCAAAAACAAATTTCGAGCATCATAAGCCCTCAGCGCTGAGCCATAGAAGGCCACAGCTGTAATAAATCAATAATGAATTTTAATAGTTTAAATCTTGTTGTTGTTTCCCCATAAGGAAGATGCATATCTCGCAAGATTACTTAAAAGATATAAATACAACAATAATTTGATTTTGCTTGTTAAGCCCAAAGCTATACAATGGGCTATCTGTGCTCTGCCCACCACGGGTATCGAAACCCGGTTTATAGCGTTGTAAGTCCACAGAAATACCGCTGTACTACTGTGGGGGAGAGTAGGGGTGGGGCCAACAACAACAATAATTAGAACAAAACAAGAACATCATTTGTCGTAATTATTCTTTCCAATGTACTCCTTTGCAAGGGGCCTGATATGGCCTGGTAGTCAGGGCATTTAACTCACAATCTGTGTGTCGCAGGATCGAATCCTGTCACTGAACATGCTCGCTTTTTGAGCCGTAAGAGCGTTATAATATGATATTCAAACCCATTTTTCATCGGTAAAGGGTAGCCAAACAGTTTACTAGCTGTCTTAATTCTAGTCTATCACAGCAAAATTAGGGACAGCTAGCGTAGGTTGCCCTCAAGTAAGTTTGCACAAACTTCAACATACCTTGAAAACACAAATATTATATTTTGTAGTGAAGGTGAGATTTTGAAAGTTATTCAAAGCTCCGGAAGAAAAGATTATACCAAGGCAAGAGTAGTGCCTTCGGTAATAAGCAATAAGCTTGGGGGCTTATAATGCTAAAAGTCAGAGCTGCTCGATACTCACGGTAGGCACAGTACAGACATGTTAGGCTTAAAGCAAACAAACAAACAAGACAAAAATTGGATAAACAACAACTAAACTGTTTGATAGATTTCAAGTTAGTATCTAAATTACTTATAGAAAATGCAACAAGCTCTTGACACAATATTATCTAAATTCCTTTAAAAACATCTAAAGAAAATCTAGTTATCTGACCTAGAGAAAGGAAAGAACAAAATTGAGATCGATTGTTTATTTGTTGTTTAACACAAAGCTACAAACAGGTCATCTTTGCTCTGTTAACTGCGAGTGCCTAAGCCCGATTTTTAAAATCATAAGCCTTCATACTTGCCGTTGAGCCTGGTTAATGGGCAGGAATCGAGCACTGCATTTCTTGCACTGTCAGCGAGCATCCAATGATCTGAGATTAAGGATTGACTTTCTAGCTATTTGTAGTGAGACAGTTTTTTTAAACTATTAAAACGACCTGACTACTACATCCATCCCCCCAACCGTTGCCAAGGGTGTACTTGGACCTAATGTTAACAGAAGTCACGTGGAGTTATCTCTTTTTTTTTTTTAGTCTATAGATGGGTTACTATAGTTACTATAGATGGGTGTAAATTTTACTTGAGGTTTTCTAACTTTTACATCTTGAACTAGAGGGTTAATCCCTAGCTATTCTTAATACATCACTTATTAAACTATTTAAGCCATCTATAAAATATATACATGAAAATCTTACTCTCACAGAAACTTAATGACACTGTGATACCAGTCTAATCCTGATACTTTGTCTGATTGTATTTACTGTTGTATATATTGATTTTACACACAGATCTATGCTAATTCAATGACTATTATGTTAACATGTTTGTATACATTGATTTTATACACCTTGGAAGTTGTTGTGACAAATCGAGATTTACGCGAATCGGTGATCATTATGTTAACATGCTTGTATATATTTATTCTACACACTTTGGAAGTTGGTGTGACAAATCGAGATATACGCGAATCGGTGATCATTATGTTAACATGCTTGTATATATTTATTCTACACACTTTGGAAGTTGTTGTGACAAATCGAGATATACGCGAATCGGTGATCATTATGTTAACATGCTTGTATATATTTATTCTACACACTTTGGAAGTTGTTGTGACAAATCGAGATTTACGCTAATTAAGTGACTATTATGTTAACATGTTTGTCTATATTAATTCTACACACTTTGGAAGTTGTTGTGACAAATCGAGATTTACGCTAATTAAGTGACTATTATGTTAACATGTTTGTCTATATTAATTCTACACACTTTGGAAGTTGTTATGACAAATTGAGATTTACGCTAATTAAGTGACTATTATGTTAACATGTTTGTCTATATTAATTCTACACACTTTGGAAATTGTTGTGACAAATCGAGATTTACGCTAATTAAGTGAATATTATGTTAACATGTTTGTCTATATTAATTCTACACACTTTGGAAGTTGTTATGACAAATCGAGATTTACGCTAATTAAGTGATCATTATGTTAACATGCTTGTATATATTTATTCTACACACTTTGGAAATTGTTGTGAGATATCAAGATTTACCCTAATTCAGTGACTATTATGTTAACATGTTTGTCTATATTAATTCTACACACTTTGGAAGTTGTTATGACAAATCGAGATTTACGCTAATTAAGTGATCATTATGTTAACATGCTTGTATATATTTATTCTACACACTTTGGAAATTGTTGTGAGATATCAAGATTTACCCTAATTCAGTGACTATTATGTTAACATGTTCTTTTGCTATTTAACACCATATTATATATTGAGCATTTTGCCAAATATATTCGACAACGAAGTCTGAGTCCATCTTGTTATGTACAAACAGATTTATTTTATCTTCTACTAACCTTAATTTTGGCAGCCCATATTCAGAGCCGTGTGTGAAGAAATCTACAAGTACGTCCATAAAAAACGCCATATATCGAGTTTCCTCTATTAAACAAATGATGTAACTTTAACTTCGTTTGTTTTATATTTTGTAAATGTCGTTAAATTATATATTTTATTCACTTAAAGGTTCGCTGATTTTTCAAAGAGTTAGCTCTCTGGTAGTACTAGTACACACTGGTAGTACTACTGCAGTAGAAAATATTGAATAGATAAATGTTACGTTGAATTTTTTTATCTCTGCTTACTTAATGTACTTATAACTCATCAAGTAAAATAAGTTAAGATCTATTAAGTAAAGACAACTCCATAACAAGGCATGTCTATCTTTTTCACAATCATTTGTTGATAGAAATCAGTGCTATTGGTAGTAATGGATAAAGAGGTTTCTTAAAACAGTGAATGTAATTGACACTAAATTTCTCTTCTTTTGTTATAAGTTTTAGAATTTTTTATTTTTTACATTATTTTTTTATGGAATTTTACTGGTAATTTTGCACCATATACAAGTTTAATTACTTTATTAGTGGTAATTATCTCTATACCAAAGGCTCTCTCGTGAGCGAGTAACCAATGAAATTCTCGGCACTACCTGGCCATTAATCAATAAAACCCTCGATATCACTTGGTCAATCACTAATAAATTCCTCATTACCATTCGACCTTTAACTAAAAAATCCTCAATATCACTTGACCTTTAATCAATAAAACCCTCAATATCACTTGGTCATTCACTAATAGATTCCTCATTACCATTCGACCTTTAACCAATAAAATCCTCAATATCACTTGGTTATTCACTAATAGATTCCTCATTACCACTTGACCTTTAACCAATAAAATCCTCAATATCACTTGACCTTTAATCAATAAAACCCTCAATATCACTTGGTCATTCACTAATAAATTCCTCATTACCATTCGACCTTTAACTAAAAAATCCTCAATATCACTTGACCTTTAATCAATAAAACCCTCAATATCACTTGGTCATTCACTAATAGATTCCTCATTACCACTTGACCTTTAACCAATAAAATCTTCAATATCACTTGGCTATCAGCCAATAAAATTCTAGAAGGTCCAGTTGCAATGGCTTGAAATCGATCACTGTTAATATATTTTTTCCTTCCCAAAAGTTTGCCGCCAGCCGCATAGAAATTCCCTCTATTGTGTTTTATTTTCCATGTAGTTTTTCTTATCGCCATCTCTTCAAAGAAGACTATGAATCCTTACGTATAAGTTATGAATTGTTTGTATTTATGTTCTCAGATCCCCTGCGAAAGGTTGCATGAAAGCATTAGATTAATAGGTTGTATAAGAATCAATAGCATTGGAAACCTTAGGCTTTGTCTTTCCCCGTCCCAATAAATATATACATTATACGGTTTATACTTGAACGTTCGAGGGGTGGTTGACTCTTGTAGAATATAGATATAATTTCTATATCTTTATTTTGTAAAGAATACAATCACCACAATAAAGGTTGTATAAAGTGTGTAAAATTCATTATTTAATTACGCTAAAATATCATATTTATATAAAATTCGTACAGAACATAATTACCGCCAAACTGTTGTATAAAGTATGTAAAATTCATTATCTAATCCCGTTGAAATATCATATCTGTATATATACACATAGGGCAGTCCTGCAGAGGGTTTGTTTGTTTGTTGAATTTCGCGCAGAGTCAGTTCGAGAGTTATTTGATCTAATACTCTATAGGGAAGGCGGCTAATCAATACAACCCACCGCCAGCTCTTGGGCTACTCTTCTTACCAACGAATAGTGGGATTGAACGTCACATTATAATTCACTCATGTCTGAAAGAGCACCAGTTGTTTTCATGATAACATTAGATTACTTTTAGAAAATGTTTGTTGATTTAAGTTTTCTTCGACTTTCATGCCTTCCAGTGGATCATCGGTAAGTCTACAAGGCTTACGACACTAGAAGTCGGGTTTCGATTCTCATTTTAGACAGAGCACAGCTAGCCCATTGTGTAGCTTTGTGCTTAAATACAACTAAACCTATCGACTTTTAAAACAACAACGACAAAAGAATGTTTGCAAAGTATCCCTTCAATTCCACACAGTTCAACATGTGTAACGCCCTTATCAAATGGTTTGTTTACTTAATTAACACATGCTTGTAATCTCCCTAGCGTGTGATTGAAATAGCTTCATGTACTCTATTTCTACGTTCTTCAATTATTTTCCAGTCGCCTTTTAATCATCATCTTTTCTGCCTCACTTTCCAAGCTCGTGAAGAGGAAATTACCATAAGAAACGAATCAGATAAGGATCAAAATAACGAGCCCCGCAGATAGCAAAGCTGCCTCCTTTGGGAAACCGCTGGGGGCCGAGGCCGCTTTTCTTGAGGGACTTGAGACCAATAATAAATAATTTAACGCCGTCACTAAATTCTCGATCAACAAGAATGTGTATTGTTCTTTATATAACCGTTTTTTTATATTACTTATGTCTGCCTTAAATATGTTTTAATGTTCAAATAAATATGTTAATGGGGCATTTATTCCTGGCTTTTAAATTAATTGATCTATAATTTTGATTATGTTTTACGAACCTGAAAAACATAAAAATAAAAAAGGATCTCTGTGTGGAATTAAGCACAAGCTACACAATGGGCTATCTGTGCTCTGCCCACCACGGGTATCGAAACCCGGCTTCTAGCGTTGTAAGTCCGCAGACATTCCGCTGTGCCACTGGGGGAGCCTAAAAAAGGAACAGCTGAATGATTTTGAGTAAATATAATAATTACAATATAGAAAAATAACACATTTGGGTAGATTGTGTTTCAATAGATTTGTTTTTTTTTGTTTGTTACAAAGCTACACAATGGGCTATCTGTGCTCTGCCCACCACGGGTATCGAAACTCGGTTTCAAGCGTCGTAAGTCCGCAGGCATATACCGCTGTGCCACTGGGGGGCGTTTCAATAGAGTAAAAACTCAAAAGTAAAATAAATAATTCACGAATAAAATTATAGCGACAATACAAGTTATTTAAATTCTGTCCACTGTGCAGAATCGAACCCTGGAGCCTCCCAGGACTTACAGCGCTAGAAACAGAGTTCCGATACCCTTGGTGGGCAGAGCACAAAGAGACCATTGTATGGTTTTGTGCTTAACTACAAAGAAACGAACCCTGGATTAGAGCATTGTAAGTTCTCAAATTGACTAAACTGTCGCCATGGGACATAACATTCTATCCAAAATTCCAGAGTAAAACTACATCGAAAACTCACCCCCTGATGGCTCATCGGTGTGCTTATAGCCACAATTTGGGGGTTTTAAACCCCACGGTTGACCCACGACAGATAACCCGCTTTGTGCTTAATAAACAAAGAAACCTTCCAAGTTCAACTGTAAACTTACATCTGTGATAAAGAATAATCCCAATTACACTCGTTAAAATTATCGTTTTGAATAGAATTTTGCTTTGTTTGTTTGTATTTCAAGCCCAAAACTGCACAATCAGCTATGTCTGCTACGTCCGCCGTAGGGATCGAACACCTCATTTTAGTGTTATAAGCCCTCAAGCATACTGTTTCTTTGTTGTAGCACTTAAGGAAATCGACATGAAGGGCTCCATGTGGTTAAAATAATCGAATATCTTACTTCTGGCTTCTTTATTTAATATGCAATTCTGACGTAATTGATTTAAAATATTAATATTTATTGCATTTTCTAAGAAAATTACGTTTTTCTTTTGTTCTTGTTTTGTATTGATTTCAACATGAATCGAATTTTTGTGTGTAAGTATCTTAGTTTGAGTGTTAAATTCTTTGAAAAACTGCTTCAAAGAATATACATCCCAAATAAGCTAAGTTTCCATGGCAATAGCAAACACAATCCCAGTGAAACAATCCCATATAATTCTGGGCCGGTCGTGGCCCAGCGGTTATGTTGCCATACTGTGGAGAGGGGGGTTTATGTTTCGCGTCCAGCTCGGCAAAAAAAAAACAAAAAAATGCACTCCGCATTTTTGAACCATGAATGCGTTATAAAAGTGACGATCATCTCCTATTATTCGATTAGAGTAGCCCAATAATTGGCTATTGACTGCCTGCCTTCCGTTTAATCTATTATTTCAGACATTGGAATCGGTCTTATGTAGCTTTACTTGAAATAAACCGAACTCTATAATCCTAAGGAGTCTCTTCGCAAGGACACGGTCTGGTGTCTAGTGTACTAGACTCGCAATCTGAGGGTCGTGGGTTCAAATCCCTTCACCGAACATGCTGGCCCTTTCAGTCGTGGGAGCTTTATAATGTAACGAAGATTCCCACTATTCGTTGGTGAAAGAATAGCCCAAAAGATGGCGGCGGGTGGTGCTGACTATCTGCCCTCCCTTTAGAGTATCACTTAAAAATTAAGAAATGCTGTTCGCGAAGATCCATAAACAAACAAACTCTCTACAAGATTGTCCCATGCATTTTTTTATGTATTTTGATTGTTCAAATCGTTAAAAATCTGTATTCTACCCCTCATACAGAAGTTACCGTGTTACCAGTCTGCGTAAAGATTACACCTTTAGAACTCCAATACAAAGTGTTTATAAAAGCGTTAAAACAAAATGTAAGAACTCGAGCATTTTTGGTTAAACTCCTTACTTCATCAGGAATAAAAATGACTATAATTACTTTAAGTATTTAAAAATACTTAAATGTTTGTAATTTTACGTATTTTAATTCTTTAAAGTTCAAAATTATTATACTTTTGCGTATTTTATTTTTTAAAAGTTTAAAAATGGTTATCATTTTACGTATTTTAATTCCTTAAAGTTCAGAGTGGTTGTACTTTTGCGTATTTTACTTTTTAATGTTGGAAAATGGTTGTAATTTTACGTATTTTAATTCCTTAAAGTTCAAAATGGTCGTACTTTTACGTATTTTCTGAAGTTTATCTATACATTCATTATCTTTTTATTCTTAGCTTGTGTCATTTTTATGAAAACGTTGTTGTTTTGTTTGATACAAAGAAAAAACACTACCTTACATTTCATTTTACGATCAATAACAACTTTAATTATAACAACTTCAATTGTAACAACTTCAATTATAGCTTTACTGAATTTATGTTATCTAAGCCTAAAATTTAAAAAAAAATCATCAAATAGTGTTACTAAAAGGTGATCGATTTAGAATTTGAAGTTTATATAAATCAGTTTCAGGCTATAGTAACCACCTTCGTACTTTCAAATGATTCCTTAATAATCGTTGTCATGGAGACTTGAAAGCGTTGACAACGCTATAGTAACCACCTTCGTACTTGCAAATGATTCCTTAATAATCGTTGTCATGGAGACTTGAAAGCGTTGACAACGGAACAAATTTCTTTTCCCGTTGAATGAGATTTTTTCACTACATTGCTATAACTTGTGACACCAGACTAATTACTTTCAAAATGTAAAAGTTCACAAGTTCAATCTGATAGAAGCTGTATACTATTTTATTAAGTGAAGCTAACGGCAAAACGTCAAGTTTTCTCCTGAATCACTCTACGGATAATAAAAATCAGCTAACAGGAGTGAAAGGATTTTAATAAAACAGAAAAGTTTGCGAAGTTCGTCATTTATAAGAAACGCAAGAAAACTGTGTTCTAAATGTGTCTCTCGAACGAATTCTGAACGTTTGAATGTTAAATGATCCAGGATGCGTATCAGAAAGCCCAAGGTTTGAACCGTGACATGCCACTGAGCACACCCTGCAATTTCAGCTGTGAAACTGAAAGCATTATAAGCGTAATAGCCAACCCCGGCTTGGTATGACCTGATAGTTAAAGCACTCGACTCGCACACTCTGGATCTCTGATTCGAATCCAATCACTGCACATGCTTTCTCAGTAATTCTAAGTTAAGGGTGAGTATGCATGAACCATAGGGGTTTCTGATCTAACCACTTAGCGCATGTGTCACATGAGGTGTCGCGCACAGGACGAAAATACCAATTAGAATATTATTATTATTTTGCTAATGTCTTGTTTTTGGCTTTGCGTAGAAAGAAATTAAGATACCTAACAAAGTGAAGTTTACAGAAAAAATAGAGCATAAACATTGTAATCTTCTAATTAATAACGAGTCGAATTTGAAATATGAAGATGGTTTTTCTGAAATAAAGTTTCAAACTTGTGACATATTGCTAAAAATATCTGTATGTAGGTTTTCTGTTTCGTTTCTTAGAATTTTCACACAAAATACAAAAAACAAAGAGTATATCTTTCCTAATTTTGAACTAATAAACTAGCTAGTCAGTAGCATCAACCACCAACCCTTCTCTGACCGAATAGTGAGATCTGACAGCGACTCTTACAGCGCACCCTCGGACCCAAATTGAAGAGAGCATTTTTTTTTGTGGCAACGTACATAATTTAACTCAGCCAATGGTTTTATCAAATATAACTAATCAACTAGATGTAGTTGGGCAGGGTCTCCGAAAATGTTCTGTTTCAAGAGTAAATAAAACCAAAATTAACAAAACAAAAAAAATTATTTCATGCTTTTCAAGTTCATATGTCATGCTGTGTTGTAGCCTACAGTGTGCTTAATACTTCTCGTGATTCATGGTATACCTACGTTTTACTGACGTCACGGCAGTACAAACTGCAACGTTAAGCATCCCTTATGTGACGTCATTTTAGTATCTACTGGCTGATTGACAGACAACACACTGCTGTATAATAGTGGGAGCTGTTAAAACAGGTGATCCCTTTAATAGTGCGTGTGTTTAAAATAGGTGATCCCTTCAGGCGGCTTTCGGGGAAATAATGTGTTTGATGATGAAGGCTGTTCTGGATGTTATCATTACCCCAGTCTCCAATGTTCTACTCTGCATTTTCTTCTCGAAAATTGATTTTTCGATAGTCACTTAAGCGTTCAGGGGTCATGACAGTTACAAAGATGATTCCTACCTAATTAGTTAATTTTGCATCAACGAGTGTGAGCTTAATATAATTACCATCCAGCTTACGATGCTCAGAGATCAACCAGGGAAGAGGCAGCTTAAAATTCAAATTTTGAGTACACTCAAAAATTTCCAGTTTAATTAGATAGCTGAAGGACTTAAATTCCGAAGTGACGTGATCTTATTTTTGTGATGATACACATTTCAAAAGTAAATAAAAGAAAAAAAACTTAACATCGCAAAATGACAAAAATAAAGATGTCTTCAAGTCTTTGAATTTGTTTTGACAATGAATAAGATGATGGTTACATATCCCAGCTCCGTGGGTTTTAGACTGTATATCAATGTACATTTTCTGACTTTTCCCGCATTTCTCTTAGGCCTAGTGTAAGAAATATTGTTCATACTTACACCCACTATTCTATTAGAATTTGCTTGCCGAATTTTCAAAGCCATTCGCGGGCTATTAGAGTTAGCCGTCCTTAATTTTGAGGTGATAGACTAGAGGGAAGGCAGCTAGTCAACTCGTGGGCTATTCTATTTGAATATTGGGATTTGGCTGCCACTTTTGTAATGCTCCAAAGTGCTGAGTGCGATTTTATTTAAGCTGTAACGGGACGCGAAAATCGGATCCAAACCCTCAACACACTAATCACTTACTTGCGCTCGGTTCACTATTAGAACTAGTCTGTGCTTATTTTCATGCAACATCTATAATGCTTGTTTTATGACATCCGCTTTACTTCTGTGTTATGCTTAATTTACGTCTTATATAAAATATAATGTGTTGTTATTTAGTAACGAATTCACTTATTACGTTAGATCTAATCTACTTGTTATATATGATCTAGTCTACTTGCTATATAAGATCTAATCTACTTGTTATGTAAGATATAGTATACTTGATATATCAAATCTAGTCTACTTGTTATGTAAGATCTAGTCTACTTGACATATAAGATCTAATCTACTTGTTATATAAGATCTAGACTACTTGTTATATAAGATCTAGTCTACTTGATATATCAAATCTAGTCTACTTGTTATGTAAGATCTAGTCTACTTGACATATAATATCTAATCTACTTGTTATATATGATCTAGTCTACTTGCTATATAAGATCTAATCTACTTGTTATGTAAGATATAGTATACTTGATATATCAAATCTAGTCTACTTGATATATAAGATCTAGTCTACTTACTATGTAAGATCTAAACTACTTGTTATATAAGATCTAGTCTACTTGTTATGTAAGATCTAGTCTACTTGGTATATAAGATCTAGTCTACTTGTTATATAAGATCTAGTCTACTTGGTATATAAGATCTAGTCTACTTGTTATATAAGATCTAGTCTACTTGATATATGAGATCTAATCTACTTGTTATATGAGATCTAGTCTACTTGGTATATAAGATCTAGTCTACTTGTTATATAAGATCTAGTCTACTTGATATATGAGATCTAATCTACTTGTTATATAAGATCTAGTCTACTTGATATATGAGATCTAATCTACTTGTTATATAAGATCTAGTCTACTTGTTATGTAAGATCTAGTCTACTTGTTATGTAAGATCTAGTCTACTTGTTATGTAAGATCTAGTCTACTTGATATATAAGATCTAGTCTATTTGTTATATAAGATCAAGTCTACTTGATATATAAGATCTAGTCTACTTATTATATAAGATCTAGTCCACTTGATATATAAAATCTAGTCTACTTGATATATAAGATCTAGTCTGCTTGTTATATAAGATCTAGTCCACTTGATTTATAAAATCTAGTCTACTTAATATATAAAATCTAGTCTACTTGATATATAAAATCTAGTCTACTTGATATATAAGATCTAGTCTATTTGTTATGTAAGATTGAAGGTGTGACGATAAAGCGTGTTACAAAATCCTTCAAGTATAGTGAGACGTGTTACAAAATCCTTCAAGTATAGTGAGACGTGTTACAAAATCCTACAAGTATAGTGAGACGTGTTACAAAATCCTTCAAATATAGTGAGAAGTGTTACAAAATCCTACAAGTATAGTGAGACGTGTTACAAAATCCTACAAGTATAGTGAGACGTGTTACAAAATCCTTCAAATATAGTGAGACGTGTTACAAAATCATACAAGTATAGTGAGAAGTGTTACAAAATCCTACAAGTATAGTGAGACGTGTTACAAAATCCTACAAGTATAGTGAGAAGTGTTACAAAATCCTACAAGTATAGTGAGACGTGTTACAAAATCCTACAAGTATAGTGAGAAGTGTTACAAAATCCTTCAAGTATAGTGAGACGTGTTACATGAAAGGTGTGGCGATACAACGATAAGATACGATACGTATCGTGAAGCCGTGATACGATTGTATCGATACATCGTCAGATACGATATCATTTATGTATATTCACGAAATTTGGCAAGCTTTCAGTAAATATTGTCTTTTGTACAGAAAAAAAAATCAGAATTACTAATGAAGTATTTTTGCTAAAAAGTAATGATTTAATAAAGGAAGATGAGTATTAAGTACTACATGTTGTCTTCATTTATTTATCAAAAACATTACATGCAAAATAATATAACAAATTAACAATAACGAAATAGATAGACAGATATCAACTTTTTATATTTTACTTTTCTTGCCAGCTGCTATTTAGTTGATCAAACCTGAGAATTTGAAAAAAGCACTGTAAAATACTTAAATAAGATAATGTTAGTAATATCGATAAATTACATATAAGACTGTCAAACTTTGTAAACCGTTGGTAAAACTTCTGTGTATAGATAAGTATAGTATGGACTACTATGATGAGATACGCATCTCTATGTATGATATAACATACTTGTAATGTATAAGGTCTAGTTACACCGTATCGAATTGATTAATGAAATTGGTTGTAATAGTTTATGAATTTTCTACTTTAATTGCTGTTTAAGTGATCGGACTTTCATAAATTGACTACATATTAACATTCTCGGCTATATTTTTAATGAAAGAGAGTGATGTAACTTATATTGTTGAGACAACCGTTTTACTTCAACTTAACACTTCTTTGAAGTAAACTGAAACCTCAACTCCTACAGATTTTTCAAGTAAGTTTACAGATATGAAATCTCAGCTCTTACACATCTTTCAAGTATGTTTACAGATATGAAAATTCCACTTTTACAGATCTTTCAAGTAAGTTTACAGATACGAAACCTCAACTCCTACAGATATAGATATGAAATCTCACCTCCTATACATCTTTCGAGTAAGTTTACAGATATGAAACCTCAAATCCTACACATCTTTCAATTACGTTTACAGATATGAAACCTGAACTCCTACAGATATTTTAAGCAAGTTTACAGATATGAAACCTCAAATCCTACACATCTTTC